GGGGGGGGGGGGGGGGTTGGGTTCAAGTTAGACCAGGCAAGATCCACAAGACTCGCCGGCAGGCCGGCGGATTTCTGGTAGAAACAAGCTGGATTCATCTAAACTATACCGACCTCACGTCGCGACCGAGCCCTGGTTCATCATAGTTTATTTTAGGGGAATCATCCCCAAATAGTCACAGTCTTATTTCAGGTTAGTGAAATATTGTACAAATTAATGAGCTACAGTATGATCATGTATGATCCAATGTTTCTGTAGCTGAACCCGGCTGAACCTGTCTTGGGATACTGTAGGTTGACTCTGTTTCCATCGATGCGCGCCACGAAGATCTATGAATAGTTTCGTAAAATGGACGACTCTCTTCATATATTAGATATTATTAGATTTTAATATCATATATACTGGTTGGTGGTTTGGCACATTTTTTCCCCAATAGTTGGGATGATGATCCAATCTGACTTTCATATTTTTCAGAGGGGTAGGTATACCACCAATTAGTATATAATATATATATATATAATATATATATATATAATAATTATTGGCCATATTAACCATAATAACAATCTAATTAACCACCAATTAGTGTGTATATATATATATATATGATACAATATTTTTGTGTTGATCTCCCACGGTATGACGCCTAGAAATCCGGTTAAACCATGGTTTTCCAAGGTTCGACGCCTCGGTAAGTCAGTATGATGCCTATGGCCGGCCCAAGGTTTGGGTGATGTGAACAGCTTGGGTGATGTGAACTTTTAACAGTGGGAAGATCATGGAATAGATCTGATGGGTGGTTTGGAACCATGGAATTTTATGTTTCCATATATTGGGAATAAGGATCCCAACTGACGAACTCATATTTTTTCAGAGGGGTTGAAACCATCAACCTGATATTATATAGAATTATTTAGAATTATATAGATATTATTTCTATTATATATATATTATGTATATGATACATATATATATATATATTTAGACATGTGAAAGTAATCATGAACTGATTCATCAAGAGCTGTTCTGAGTTCCCAAGATTTGACATGAGCCCTGTTTTTTGGCACACGTTACCGCATAATCTCGTAGGTGCGATATGGGATAATATGTGTGCAGATCATTGAATCATGTTCTGGTCACCGGGAAAACATGGGAAAAAAATGCCTGATTGACTGTAGATCATTGTATGTCCATATCAATCCTACCCTCTGGTAAACGTTTACAGTTCGCGAACTGGAAAATCACCATGTTCCAGCTGTCAATGGATTGGTTTAAGGGAAAATCTACAGGAAACCATAGATTTTCCCATTAAATATGGGGATTTCCTGTAAATTTTCCCTTAAACCAATCCATGCTCTAGCTGGGTGAATCCACTATTTCAACGGCCATGGCTTCAAGTTCGCAGTGCCTGTGACAGTGTTTACCGTTTAGGGTATCTCATTGAAACATCGACTCAGCCAGGACTCACTAGGATCAGGGACCATGGTTACCATGGTGACCATGGTGAAGGTTAGAAGGCCTTGCCATCGTTTCCTTTATGGGGCTCCATGGTTTTCGAATATTTCCATGTCCAAAAGCTCAGGAAGATCAGGAAGTATCGCATTGAAGTCTCAAATTCCAGGCAATTTGTCTATTTCGGTCTATTTTATCTTGCGAGAGATGAGTTAATGATGATCTGGCAGACCAGTCACTACACAGATCTCAGATACTTCACCAGTTACCAGAGCCAAGTGTCAAGTTAGACTATAAATAACTGTTTATATGTGTATTCAATAAGTTCACTTTAGTACCTCAGTTAGCCTAAAGTTCGTTAAACAGCCATGACGGGATATTCAACTGGTGGCCTCCCTCCTCATGTGCCCATGGGTCAAACCCGTCTGCTTCTGTTTACACCAACAAAAGCTGGGATTTATCGCTCGATTTATCGATGTTCATCCCCCAACATCTATATGTGTTGGTGATATATCCCACTATATCCATCATATTTCCATGATACCTCCATGTTTCTATGGTTAAATCACCATGGTAAAATCAAATCAATGCTATAGTTTTGATTCCTCCCCATCTTTCTGTTGAGACGTGGGTCAACGATGAAACATGACCCTTGCGCCCTGCGTGTCAGTCGCCATATCCTGGAAATCCAGCGATGCTGTTGCACGACGGATACCGACAGCAGGTGCCGACGAAAGAAACTGGACCAAGGAGTTGCGATGGTTTTGTCCTCCAATCCGGATATCATTGATATAGTTATTGGATGTTATTGGGCTACACAAATGATCCAAAATGATGATAATTCTGGCAATCCCTTGTAGCAACTACCAAAAAGTACTACTTTCTTGATAGACTTGGGATGTAATTTGGGAGAAAACCCATGGAAACCACAGCCGGGAGTTCCCCGAAGAAACCATGATTCTTTCTGGGATAAATCATGGATAAATCTATAAATGGGGACATGTCAATTGCCATTTTTGTTCGTGAATTTGAGGCTAAGAAAGATTGCCTATAGTGAATTGATAGTGGATAGTGTTCACTGGAGCCATGGATGTAGAGGATTCTGGGGGTATCGCACGGCTTTTGACAGGTTAACTTGACAGCTTTTGTGCATAAGATGTACGACAAGGTGACAACGTTATTTCGGCTTCGTAAAGGAAATACCCCCTTCTCAAAGATTCTTCAAAAGTAAGATAACCATTGCAAGAGAAGTCGTCGTGTGCACTACAAAAGTAGTTGCTCTCAAGAGGTCACCCAACTCTATGGAAGCCATGACACTTTTTCGGAAAGGATGATTGTCCATGTTCAAACATAGTGAATTTCCAGTTATTTACCAGATGCTAAATCAATTTCCCATCATATATCCCAAACAAATCCTATGAGATCAGCATCAAATGCCACGTGTTTAGCCCATAATGTGGTAAATCGCCAAATCGTCATCCATAGACACCATCCCCAAGTCATAACTGAAATGAGTTGTATAGTCACCATCCCCAGTCATGGGTGCTTTGCCATTGTATGTTGATGGCAGGCTTTCCCACTCCCATGTGGCCACCACAAGAAATGCTATGAACCACTCGGCAGGCGGTGAACAGCACCTTAGCATGCCAAAGTGGCGGCTGCAACGCTACGGCGGAGTTGAGCTTCAGCCAGGACGGGACGATGGATATGCCATGAAAAGCAGAACTTTACCATGATGTGAAACCAAGATTTTGTTTTGACTCTTTGGCATTTTTGGTAATTAAAGTCTGTTTGGGGGTTGCTGTGGATGCAAGATACACATATTGTTGAAAAAAGGGCCGTGCCTGCTTTGATTTCCATGTGGACTGAGTGCATGTACATGTACACGCACGTGCAAACAGAGAGGGAACTAGCTCCACGACTCAGCTGCCCGTCATTCTTGATGGATTTTAATCATGTTTAATCAATCACGGAGATTGTTGGAAGGTCACCATCTTTTGACAAATCATCATAAATCATCTATGAATGGGCCATTTTCCAGAGCGAAGTCTTAAATCCCCAGAGTCCTTTTTTCACCAATGATCATTGGCGACGAGCCACCGCATCCCTGCAGTCAGGAGGGTGATCTCCAAAACTGCAAGCTCAGTGTAAAGGCCAGAGCTGTTTTTGTTTCGGAAAATCCTGGGGATACACGACTCAAAGACATCATTCTAGACACCTACGGCCTACGGCTTGCCGTAGTAAAACATTGCACGTTTTTTATGCACCATCAACTGCCTGATATATCTCCTCCATTTTGAAACTATTGAGTTGTTCTGATCTGCTGCTTCGTTCTTGGAGCTTGTCACAAGGGCACTTGCCGGCCCTCTCTGTTGTTTATCTATATGTTTATTACCCGTCGATTGGGTAAGAGTTTAGAAAGCCATTTCGTTGGAGTACCTGCCCATAGCTGTAAGATTTCAGAGGTCTGCAGTGTCTGCAGCAGCAAACATATGCTCAGTCATAATGTCTGTTCCGATTGGATACTGCAGATATCTGTAGATGTTTGTAGTTGGACATACAGGCATCCACATGTCTACCCACATTGATCTCGCGGAACTTCTCAAGTGCCGTGACGCCACGCTAGCAGAAATCATCAGGTGAAACCGACGGACTTCGGCGTGAACAAGGTTGTAGACACTCGGCGCGTCCGGCAAGTCCAAGATTCGAAGCGATCCTGACCAAATCGTTGTTGGGTGCAACATCCCCAAATTTATCCGGCTTTTTAAGATATCATATAGCTATAGGATTATATAATATATAGATATATATAGGACTATGGAAGATTATGGAAACCATGGCCCATTTAGTTCGATGATCAATGATGATTTACCTAGAAAATCATGGTGATTTTCTGTAGCGACGTTGAATTCTCAAACGGTAACGTTAGTTTGTTCAGCCTAAAACCGCGTTTGTTCAACGTCCCGAGGAATTCATCACCGTGAACGATCACACGGTGAGTCTCAACTGTCAACCACCTTCCAGCGATTGTAGCGAGGCTGCTGAGCTGCTGGAGCCTCTATATACATGATTTCATGGGTAAAAGTCCCAAAAAAAATCATCATCAGTAATTTATGGTAATAAATTAGATTCACCAATTATGGTAACTAACTTTATGGTATAATTATGGTAACTAACTCCAGATGCACTAATCAGTAATTTATGGTAACTAACTCAATTTCTTTGAGGTATGTGGAGGGTCTAGGATCATTCAATATTCACCATTTCTCTGCTTAGAGAATGACAGATCAATGATCGACGTGGGACATGGGACCTATAAGATCATCGTTTATGCTCATATTGTTGTTCCGTCACATACCTAGACCCTCCAAGTACTGAGAAAGTCAGGGTAATCTGGCATTATTTTAGAGACATTTGCTCATTTTCAATCATGGCTACAAATGGAGGGTCTGCCTAGACCCTCCAAAGTAGACGCAAAAAAAAGTCAAATATACTAAAAGTATTGGGTAAACCGCCATTTTCATGGCTGCAAATGGAGGGTCTAGCTTTATCATGATATTATCATATCCATTCATATCATGGTACATTTTATATGAATTTATATGCTGGTTGGTGGTTTCAAACATTTGTTATTTTCCATAATATATGGGAATAATAATCCCAATCTGACTCATGTTTTTCAGAGAGGTAGGTATACCACCAACCAGATTATATCATATCCATTCATATCCCCATATTGATTAAATCCTCAACCATCAATGGTTATAGTAGACATTCACCAACCAGTATATGAAATTATATTGACCAACCATCTATGGGATAACCCTTCCCACTTTCATATGTTTCAAGATTGTTAAAACATGTTAAAACCACCAACTGCCACCAACCAGTAAATGATATTATATAACCATATTATTATTATAACCATAATATATAACCATATCATTTATTATAATCCTCCAGTTATCACATTAATTAATGTCTCATAATACATGGAACACATATAGTACATGCCGGCGAAGCCCCCTGAGTCCAGGCCGACAAGCTCACCTCACTCTTCGACTGTGTGGCCTGGCCAAAAAGATGCTGAAAACGTGTGAAGCCAGGATGTTTCACAGGTGTATCTTTATTACGTGTAAATAATATATATATATATATATGATATTATATGTATGTTGTCCATGTTTCCGACCCTTCGGCATTGCTTTTGGGGTTATTATAAATACATACATATCATATACATAATATATATATATATATATATACATAGATCTTACATATACATAATATACATTGATGTATTACATGGGAATATTTTGCGGGTCATTTGGCCAAAACAAACCAGTGCAGATCTACATGGAGCCTCTGGGGTATCGATGGCAATGTTCAAAACCACCGTTGATTGATGGTTATATTATTAATAAATTATGGTCCATGGTTAGTCATGGTTAGTCATGGTTAGTTATGGTTAGTTATAGTTATGGTTAAGATGGGGATTATATTATACTATCCAATTTATCTTTCAATGTAATTATAATTATCAATGGTGGTAATAGAGGATTATTAAAAAAAATACTGTCCAATATATCTGGGATTTTCAACATCAATTTTCGGAAATCCTAAATTTTAACCAACCAATATAAAGGGACAGACGGTGTTCAACAGTGCTGATATGTCTGTTTGAATATGCACCGAAATGAGACCGGCGAAAGTCTCCGTTACCTCTCCACAGCCAAGGTCTTCGAAATCGATGTTCAGCATTTGCTGAGCAACCGATCTTTGCAGCTTTCAGCCAAGATCTCCGACGGGGTGAACAAAAGTAGGGGTATCCAAGTCGCTGGAAACTTTTGTATAGCTTAGCCCATGTATAGCGCACACGATTCTCCCGGATCTGTTAGAAGTATATTTAGTTTTGGAACCGCCTGAAACCTACCATTTGGATCCATCTGGGTCACGTTGGATCCATGATATCCATGATCCTGTTTCACCAGGTGATTGTGCGTACAAGGGCAATCTGCTGTACGCAGTGCCGCAGGCCAGGGCCCGGGAAGAAGGGAGACCCCCAAAGGCCGGACATCAAGGGTCACAGCACTTCCAGACCTTTGGGTGTGTCGGAAACTGGGGTATTATAGGTACCCCGAAATGGTCACTTTAAATGCGCAATTGCTTTCTAAAACATATATTCTGAAGGTTTTTCAAAATTGCAGGTACCAAACCCAAATATCATATCAAGTTCGTGAAATAACATAAATTTATCCAATAAAATATACCCATTTCATCCAGCTTGCAGGTGACTTGCCTTGTGGGCCCTGTGTCCGACTCCCAGATATCATTGCTGTATGCAGTTGGTTTGAAGTATGTCTTGAGAAAAAAAAGGTCCTACAATAGGATGATGGTCCCATTCGCTATGAAATACTTCAATACGTAAGGTGGTTGAACCACCAAGCAGTTTAAATTGGACGTTTTTCTTGCCCTGTTTAGTCGCAATGAGGCCCGGTGTAGCCATGAACATCAGTGACGTGCTTGCGCGGCCCGTTGCCACACCAATCAAATTGTCGCTGACCCCAGTGGTTAGTCGTAGGGTCCAAGGGTCAAGGGCTGGTTGTTCTTTCGCTAGTTGATCTTGAAAAGATATCCCGTTCTTATTTAACGGAGCTATGGAGAATCACCATTAAAAGAATAGATAAATCATCAGAAACATCAAAAAATATCTAGGTAAACCATGGTAAACCATCATAAACAAATATAAACAATCTATAGCCGGATCATTTTCCATTGCTATGTTAACATTCGCCGGGCTCTCTTTGTTGATGTTTGGGACCAAATGATCCCACCTGGCAAAACCGGGACAAAAACCATCGGTGGTCAAGATTGAAGACCCCGGGACGACATGGGACGACAGATTTTAGTCTATTACCCTCCGGTAAAGTCACAGTTTGCTGTTGAACATGGCCATAGAAATAGTGGATTTACCCATTGAAAAAAGCATGGTGATGTTCTATAGTTTTTTGTATGTTTACCAGAGGGTATTGTCTATGATTCGGAATGATGTGTATAATATGTATATGAATCATCTAATGACTGGTTGGTGGTTTGGGACATTTTTTATTTTTCCAATTTGTTCCATTCAGTTGGGAACAATAATCATCAATAATCCCATTTGACGAACTCATATTTTTCAGAGGGATAGGTCAACCACCAACCAGATGATCCATGGCATCCAACAAGGTACAGCGTACAGCAACTGGGAGAAACCACGACGGAAAGAACTAGCCTCTGGTAATTTGTCAAAATAGCTATTGAAAATGGCCATAGAAATAGTGGATTATATAGCCATTGAAAATGGTGGATCTTTCCATAGCTATGTTAGTTTACCAGAGGGTAGTACAAAAGAATGCAAATATGCATCCATCATGAAGTCAACTAGAAAATGTTGTTCACCAATGTTCACTATAAGTTTCACAACACCCCGAACCAACTCAAATGATGTTGTGTTCACGTCCTGTGAACATGTTATTTGGATTTTTTCTCAGTGGTATATTCCCGTGTTTTCAGGAATATGGAAATGTGTCAAAACCATTCAGAAGCTGTCTATATGAACGCATACTTCACAGGGGATGAACATAATGTACAACCACTTACATCCATATTGTCATCCATTTACATCCACACATCCCAGCTATTTTGGTGCACACAAGGGGATTCTTTCGGGTGACGGCAAAGCCCTTTGACAGGAATCAGAAGCTGAAGTCCAGAAAGGCCGGCTCTTTGCCCCCAGAATTTCTCCAGCACCTCATCTTGTTGAATGGTTGTAGTCTATGGTTATTACTGGTTGGTGGTTTGGAACATTGTTTATTGTTCCATTCAGTTGGGAACAATCATCCCAACTGACTTTCATATTTTTCAGAGGGATAGGTCAACTACCAACCAGAGATTAATTAAGCATGTTTTAGTAGCTACAGTGGAATTGAAGAATGGTTCTTAGCCTCTGGGAATGTGGCGGATAAGATCATCCCAGCTAATCAGCATCCACTGACCTTCGTCATGGGAACGTCGTTGGAACGAAGCTGACAGCGACCTTTAAAAAATCAGCTATCATTTTAGGACAAAAGATGTGTTTTTGCTGGTTTTCTCGAAGTTGATTTGATATGATCTGATGGTTTTCAAGACTAAGTCTTATTTGCCACATCTTTCTTGATTCTTGGGTGTTTTTCATGGTAAGTCAACACGTCGGTGAATACACGTGAATATGTTTTTTCGGTGGTGAAGTCCCAGGCAGCCGATCCTGGTAATGTTGTGCTCTTCAGCAGCTACATACCACAACTATCCTTACAGATCGAAATGGGAAATCTTCAAAACTCCTGTTGGTTGATGAAAAAAAGGGGGCTATACTCCCCAGTTGGGGATGATATATTGGGTTACCAATCGCAATCCATTGTGTGAAATCCTATAGGTACCAATCAGTATACAGGGACAACACAAGGTTTTGAGCACTGCTCACATCTTCTTGGTCATTTGTTCCATTCTGTCCTCATACACATCGGCTGCTATGCATTGGTGTCCAGTGAAACTATTTCAGGTAATTACTATTGGCTTTAATTTTAACGATTAACCCGTTGGCTTGCTTAATATTAAATTTATATATTGAATGTAAACACTTGTTTATCTGATATCTAGTGAATTTTATGGTATTTCTAATAATTCTGATATATATATACATATATATATAGAATATATACGTGTATATATATATATATATATGTATATTCAGAATCCTGAGAAATACCATATATATATATATATATTGAACATATAGCCAACGTGAAACTATTATTTGATGTGACCTAGCTGCTAAAAAAAATAGCTGATGGTTTTTGTGTTTCCCCAGCCCTGGCATTCCCTCACAGGCTGCGTCGCGGCATTTGCGTGTCAAACAGCAGTAGAAGAGGCACGTTCTTTTCCTGGGTCAACTGTGGTGGTTTGTTCCACGGAATACTGTAAGAATACCACAGTTCCAAACAATGAGAAAAGATGTGGTTTTTCATGTGTTGTAAATGTTGTTTTGCCTTTGAATCTATAAAGATCTAAGGTTCTGATGGGGTCTATGGGTCTATGGGACCATGGGCTTCGGAACTTCGTCATGGAAAGCCACACAAGGAAACTCATGGTGTTCTAACATTCCAATGCTGTAGCTTCTACGTTGAGGATCCAGTGGATCTGTATCCATTTGCGAGTCTAAGAGCTACTGTACAGTTTCGACACTGTTTCATGGGTCGATGACACCGATGCCACGGCCAAACATGGCCAAATGTCTTCCAGGAAGCATCAACCAGTAGTGGCAAAAGCCAGATATCTATGGAACATGAGGCCAGTGAGGCCAGTGATAGATGTTCGCCGGGTGGTAGTACCGGCTACTGTAATGGCTCAGTTCTTTCGGAAGGGCATGGAAGGGCACCGAATCCTTGGAACTATTTGGAACTGGGGCCAGCTTACAGTGAAATGTTTAGAGTTTAGGGTCACCACTGCTCCGGGAAGAAGTCAACAAATAACAGACAAAGACATCTGAGGGTGCCAAAGAGAAGCATTGTGCATGTGTGTGTTCTCTTTGAGGGAAGAAACTGTCACTTGTGCCTGCCAGGGGTGCAAACTTAGAGTGACGGCTGATGAAATGATTCAGTTTGCATCAGCAGATTTGACGCTCACATTTCTCAGAAATCATCAGATGTTTAAGGGGCACAGCAACATTCAACTATCACCAATTGATTCCCTGTTTGAGGCAAATTACACTCAAATTTGCTGATGCACAGTCCATTCCTGCCGAGTTGGGCGTGAAAAACGAACAGTCGCGGTCGCGGTCGCAGCTAGAGGGTTTGGTATCAGCTGCCCCCTCATCTTCAAGATCAGCCCTAAGATAGGTGGACCATGTTCGACCACAAGAAACCTCGAACATTGCTGCATATGATTTTAATACTATTCAATGCTTCATTTTTATTTGTCCACCTGCGTTTCACTGCTTGAAATGTCTGAGTATCAGATCTGATATTGCCATCAACCCATGCAGTCAGAACATGCCGTTCTGCTTACAAGATTGCTCAAAGTGACCAAAGTGACGTCTCCAGTCAAAGTATCTATACATGTGCAGTACCGGACCATCTATGCTTTGGTTCAATGCAATGAGATACTCATGGACGTGACAGTGTTTCCTGTGAGGCAGTGCCCACAAATGCACACAACTGTATGAACATATTCTACAGTATATACTCTTGCAGGGTTTGCATAGTGAATATATTTGTACATCTTGCATGTGTTAATTAATTGTATATATATATACTATATACATACACTACATTCACTACATACACTACATACACTACATACATTACATACATGACATAAATTACATACATTACATACATTACATACATTACATAAATTACATACATTACATACATTACATACATTGCATACATTGCATACATTGCATACATTGCATACATTACATACATTACATACATTACATACATTACATACATGACATACATTACATACATTACATACATTACATACATTACATTGCATTGCATTGCATTGCATTGCATTACATTACATTGCATGCATGCATGCATACATTCATACATACATACATTCATACATACATACATACAGTCATACAGTCATTCAGTCATATATATATACAGTATATAATTGTGTATTTAGCAATGCATAATTGCATACAAATATACAATTATGTATACATACGTAACCGTATATGTGTATATATATATACATAGATATGTGTACATATCCACATACATATAGGAAGGAGACGTGCCTCATAACATTATCATGCAAAGGTCTATGTGCTGACAAACAAAATCAGGCTCGTAGTTGTAGTGCCGCGGACCTAACAAGGGTCGTGGCCATCGCCCATTGTGAACTCACCAGTGGGGTATGCCCAGTAGACAAATTCCCATATTGTTTGATGGTTGCAGCACAATTATCTTGGTCTTTACTTGTTGAATGTAAACTTTTTGTGGAAATTGAATGAAATTCATGGAATTCGTCAAGGTTGGACAAGGTATATCTTGATTGTGTCCAATACAAAAGATCAACCTGGCTCCAAGAACTCTGTTCTTGCCCATGATGTCGCTGGATATACATACATACACATATCTCCAATGTTTAAATCTGCAAGCAGCAGCTTCTCCGGTCGTGTTGCCTCCCTTGCGGGAGTGCAGTTTCCTCCCGGCATGGTATGGGTCACGCACGCCATGGCGCGGGCCGAACAGTAGGGACGCCCAGAGCTGAACCTTGGTATTTGGAGGTAGTCATGGGGGTACTCTCCAAATCATCATAGTAAATCATCCTATTCCCTAGTGCTCCAAATACCCTCTGAGAAGGTGTTTAGACCCCAAAAACAAACTCCAAATTCAGTCTCAGAAGGTGTTTGGAGCTGTCGGGTAAGTAGACCATTTTTGTAGTAATGCGGGTAAAACAATGTCACAAACCACCCATTTGGGAATGGTAAACATACCACCTATAAAAATGGTGATTTGGGGGATGGTTTATTATTGTTTTACCCACACTAAAACCCATGGTTTTGGGGATCCCCCATTTTAAGAAACCCACATATCTAGGTTTGGTAGATGGATTTGTGATTTTCGATTTGTGTTTTTCTTCATCAATGGAAAAACAAGTCCAGCCAGGCCAGTAAGTATGTTTTTGTTTGTTTTTGAATGTGTGTGAAGGGTATGTAAAATCACTTTACCCACGATTAGGCTTGGGCGGTGATTTGACAAACCATATTTTGATGATCTCGACAATATGGTTCCAGTCCGTAATGATGTCCAAATCGATGCAGATTTTCAAGAAGCATCACATGAGGACTCTGTTTTGTTTATTGGACTACAAAGTGGTTCCGATCATGTATAAATATACGTACGTATTTATACATATATATTCTTACCCATCCTATATCTACCAATTCACCATAGAATTTCTGGATATAAACCAACATTACCCATCTTTCTTGGGGGCCCATGACACGGTGGGTTGAACCTTTTTGGTGTTTTGCAACGACCCTGGCGCGGCGCCGCGCAGCTTGCTGTACCTCATGGGTCACCGCAGCACGATCGGGAGACTCCCTTAAACTCAGGCATTGTATCTTGGTGCAGCGTCACGTACACGGCGGCTTTGTTTGTTTGTTTCAAAGTTTTATACAGAGATATGTGTTAAATGTAATGTATGTATAGTGTATATATTCATGCATGAAGTTGGACACACACACACATATATGTTTCAAAATTATATGAGTATGTTTAAATGTTCGTATTATGTAATTTGTATATAATTAGTTATAATTCATATAATGTACTGAAACCAGTATGGCGGCCCAATAAAGCTTTGGTTGTCACCGGTCTTCTCATCTGACCGTGAAAATTCACCATCCATGACATGGTGGATTTACACCCCAATGGATTGGCCACAGTGATATGTCTTGTCCTTTTCTACATGTTTGCAATGTATGAAAGTATATGAAAGTCTCAACCAATCATTTACCTTTGGATAGTCACTACGGAATGAGATGTGTAAAAATTGTATCATTTCCATTCATTTCTTCAAGATCTGGGGATGGGTCAAAAGCTATTATCTATTTTTATTACTACCATATTTTGGGGAATAAACATCCATTAGCCAGCTATGACTAAACGGATACCGTTTGGGTACCGTTTGGTTTTGACCTATGACCGCCACCGCAATGTCGCCAAGGTGCCTGCCGGGTGGTATGTGGCAACCTCAGTGGCAATGTGCAAAGGGTCATGATTGGATGGATATGGATCAATACCAACTGTATGAAATCATTAATTGAATGATTTATAAATAATAAATGTTGGTATTGAATGTTGAATGTTGGTAGTATAAATAATTATATAATAATGACATCATGAATATGGGTAAGAATGGGAAATATATATATATATATATATTATAAATCACAGCTAAATGTTGATGTCCATCAGGGTAGGTGTTGACCCAGTGGACAAACATTGAAAGACCCATGGAGCAGTGGGAGAGTTGGCATCTTCTAGTAGAAAGTGCAGGAGGAACGGTTTATCAATAGGGAAAACAGAAAATCATGTGGTTCGGTGGATCGGATCTTCGGAGCTGGATTCAGAGCTTGAGCAACTGAGAAGGTGCTCCTGCATTTAGTAATCTAGTAGTGAGTGCGGTTTTAAAATTTGCCCTTCCTGTATATGTTGAAAGGCAAATTCCAAAGATTGGCAACTTCAAGTTCACTTTCTTTATAGTTTGGATTCCAGATTCATTTTACCATGGTCCAGCCCTTTTCCAACAGAAAATCATGGTTAAGGCAGAGCTCAAACGTATCTTGGCGCTATCTTGGCGCTGGGACGTGCTGGGTTTTGTTGGGATGTGCTGCAGCCTGACATTCGATGCGGATTGCGTGGAATAGATCCAACAGTCACTGTTTATCTGTTTGCAGTGCGGAAACTCTTTATGGCGTACAAATTGATCTTCAATCTTGGCGGTTCATTTTTTTGATTTACACCTTGCAATTTGTTCGGGTCAATTTCATTTGAACCATCCCCAACTGGTGAGTTTCCTTTTTGAGCAACTAATTGAGCCCCAATTGAACGCGACTTCGTCAACTCAGGGTGGTTCCACTGTGCATTTTTGGTTATCTCCTACTTTGGAGTTGGCATCCTGTTCTACTCACATGCCACTCGATTTCGGAGGGGGCTTCGGGTTAGGGGTGGCCTTGTAGACGGACATCCTGGACGCGAGGGATTGAAGCAGCCATGAAATGGTGATTCAAAGATATTCAAAGAACCAAAATGAGGACTACTCAACTAACTTAACCACAGGAATTAATACGTTTCCATGCTGGAATTAGCTTGTCCTGTGGTTGATCGGACAAAGAAACTGTTGTGCTTCATGCTATATAATTGTGAAACCTGTAGGCTGGGGTCCGTTAGGTGGCATAGCCGCAACGCGAATCGTCTTCGGTACTCCACCGTTGGCCCCCCATGACTGCAACTCATCTCATGAAGAAACGTTTCTCAGTTCACATCTAGCCACATCCTAGGGTTGAACGCATAATGAACCAGCAGATTCCGCCAGCCACTGCGCAGTGGCCCAAGCTTTCCCTAGTATTTTCTATACATTTCCCCAGCTTCCAGACCTGATTTTGGATGGGCTAATTTTCTTCAGTTCCAATCTGATATGAACTGAAATCTGCAGATGTCGCAGATTTCACATGGTAATATCATCGTTTATAATATGGAATCATTTCATTTGTGCTGCTAGGGATTCGTCTTTGGAATTCCTGCGAAATCTTCAACGCCGCTAGCTGCAGGTCGAAAGAAAAGCGTCACTTGGCGGACAAAAGTGCGAAGGGACCCTGAGGCCTTGGAAAGCCTTGGAGTGAAGATTTTTTTCAGCCAGAATGCATTCTTAAATCTATTGAGCCCAACCTGGGTACCTGGGGTGAATCGAGTGCTTTTTCCACAAAAAGGAGCCGTAGCGGCCGTAGCTTTTTACTGCATGTGATCAAGAGTATCAAGGTTTCTTCGGCATTCAGAAATCTGTGGTATAGTCCTTAGGATTGGATTTTTTCTAGATACCCTCTGGTAATTTAACATAGCTATGGAAAATCCATTATAAATGGAGGTTTCGTTCGCTGGGAAAATCATCTGTTTCTATGGGCCATGTTCCATAGCTATGTAACAAATTATCAGAGGTTTTAGGATGAGTTGGAACCATGGAGGCCGCAGACCTTTGGGTTTCAGGACCCTGGACCCGAGTGTTCCACCCCGTATACCCACTATCTTGAAACAGATGGAGATTCCGATGGTTTTTTTTTTCCATGTGATTCCCAGATTCCGATGGTTTTCCCGATTTTAAGCTAGACATGTACCATCATGTACCCTATTTTTAGCCTCCAATTTACGTCGCCTTTTCGGAATCCATAGGGAAGGACCACCCGTAACCCCCAAAAAAAGGCTGCCGGGTCGAGGTGTGAGGATGACGCAGAGCCGATGTGCACTGAGCCATGGTCGTGACCCAGCTAAAGGGTAGGGAGATATCTGTCATTGACAGATGTTATACATTGATCATCATTAATCTATACCCATATGCTCCATGTATGCTCCATGTATAGTATATTTATATATATATATATTTATCTACATATATCCATATATAGAATCCAAAAGATAGCTGGTTGGTGGTTTGGAACATCAATTTTTTGAATTTCTATATATTGGGAATGGCATCATCCCAACTGACGAACTCATATATTTTTCAGAGGGGTTCAAACCACCAACCAGATTAATCATCATTTATATATATATATATATTATTTATGTCTTATGTATATATAATATATATATATATATATATTATAGAGCTTGGCTGGATTCGCCGCGGCTCGCCATGGCTTGTTGTTTTAGGGTCACTGTGAGGGTCACCTGACTGGGAGGCTGGTTGAATACACATGAAGCTATCAATCTGGGTAGATTATAAAGACCTCACTGGAATCATAAGGGAATTAATTCAGGTTAGTAAAATCTTCTGATATACCCAGATCAATCCAATTTTGGGTGCCAGTAAAAACGTTGACTCATGGCGAGTTGGGTGATGTCCGACGATGTCGTCATCTTGATATCAGTGGGTATGGAGAAGTTTGGTGTCCGACAAGTAATGGGTGGATTGGGTGAACGAAACAGCTGCGAGAGGATCACCAAAGGCAGGTTATGAGTTATGATTGATTTTGTATCTTGCCCTTCTGATGTCTGGTTTCAGTAATCCCCTTTGCAGAAAAAGTGGAAATGGAATTTCAAGATTGAATATAGATAAAACATGATAACACAAGATAAACAAGTGATTTGTCAGTGTCTCTTCAGACCTCACGAATGCGACGAATGTGGAGTCCAGTGCGGATGGCTTACCAGCCAGAAACTTTTTTAGATGACTATTATCTATATGTATAGTTAGTTAGTGTTAACATGTGTTAGCAGTTAGTAGTTATTCTGAAACGATTACCAACTTACCATTCCGATAACATTCCATTCCTGTCATCACCTATGATTCATAGAGGCCAATGATGAAGGTTTCAGGCGACCCAAACATTGGTGTCTCCATGTTGAAGCCTCATACTGAATTTCCTACTTATATAATGTTATATATTAATATACATATTGAAAACCAACAAAGCCCCAATCTTGAAAAAGGTGAAAAGCTACTAGGTTATCTTTTTTGTTATCTTCATCGTTGGCTAATTGGCTGTACTTCCAGTTTCATTGAGCTATAGCCCCACATTTACATCTCCTGCATTGCTGCATACGATGTCTCCAATTTTGCTTGGTCATATCTCCATGAAAATATGCAATGGGCAGTCCTGAAAAAGGTGGGGATTTGTCCAGGAGGCAGGGGATGGACAACCATACCACATCCATTATTACTTTTACTATAATAATGACTGTAACTACTTCATTATTTTGCTATTGCTATAGTACTATTGCTGTAAAACTATTACTATTAATCAGCACTGTACATGATTATACATGAAGTTACATTGCTGAATTTCGTATTGAAATACTACCGCTACGAAAGCTGTTGCCAACAACTGACCATGGCACATGGCAGCTTTCTGGTTTCAGCTGGCATTATTTCGAAGGCCAGTTGACTCGGTGTACTTCGTGATGGTTAGTATGATGCTTGTACTCGCGGGGCCATGCGGGGCCGGTGACCAGGGAAGATGGGAGTGGACGTATCACTGGACTGTTTTTTTATTTCAATGAAATCATAAACTACAATCAAATGATATCAAAAAAAACACAGAGATTACATAAAAGGACTTACTTGTTGCATAAACATGTACCCTCTGGTAAACTAACATAACTATGGAAAATCACCATTTTTAATGGGAAAATCCACTATATCTGGCCATTTTCAATAGCTATGTAACAAAATTACCAGAGGGTACATCATGTACGGAGTACATTGAAGCAGCCACCAGACATGTCTTTGCCACGTTTCTCCCACGATGCTGACGACTGTGGGTACCTCCCTTGGGCGGCGCGGCTGATATTTCCCATAGGATCCATGGTGCTGGTATATATGCTAATATTGGGGGTATATTGATGGTAAATGTTAGCATATATACCATACATGGATCCTATGGGTTATGTGATCATGGTTGGATCCGTGATGATGAGTGGAAATGGCATCATGATCTTTCTGGTTCCCGTCTTGATTTTACCGTCTTGAGACCTGCGGGTAACCGCCAGCATGACGTGCGTCAAACATGGCGGGCTTGGTGTCTGGAGCATCATAGTCAATCCAGTCGACGTGATCGCAATCTTGATTGTTTTGATAATGGTGTCTTCAAGCGTATTGATTGGGATGCTGTGCGTCGGTTTGCGGCTTCTAGCCCGGAGGCACGTGCTATAGCCACGGGGAGCGCCTTTTCTCCTGCGGCTTTACGCAGTGCCCAAAATTCGGAGCTTGTTGATTCTTGCTTGTGGCCTGGTTGTCGTGCTATGGGCACTTGAGAACATATCTGCTGGACGTGCCAGTATCGCCCAGTAGACGTCGAGTTTCCCCCTCAACCAGGGGAGTATCTCACTTCCAGATTTGGTCGGCCTGTGTTTGGTGCAAATGTCGACATTCAACATGTCCATCCTTGGATGACTTTTGTTCAAAGTAATGTGTGGGATGCAAGACATGGCTAATACCATCTAATACCCAGTTCTTGGCCTAGTTTTTTTGCTGGCTGGTGGTTGGGTGTCCTTCATACCTTTTCACCTGCCGTGTTCATTTTGTGGGATTGCCTTCACACTCCCCCTTTGGATTCTTTGGGATCTTTTCTGGTGCATGTCTGGAGCCTTTCGTGTTCCTTGGTTTAGGGTAAGGGGCTGGGTTCTGCCCAGCTCTTTCCCGTCTGAGGAGTACGGTGGGCTACGGCGATCTCGCACCAAGTACCCCAGTCTCGCGAGTTTTCACCCTTTTCTTCATCATTTATGGCATTGTGGCTCCTCGACCTGCACTGGTACTTAGGTTGAGTTGTCCTGCAGCTTTTGGTACGGCGGATCCGATCATTTTCCCTATGTGTGATGGTCATATGGGGGTATATCCATCGTATATGCAGGGTATATGCAGGGTATATCCTACTTTCAGACACACTCATTTGACCAATTTTGACCTATGTGCGGTTGGTGTTTGGTGCTGGATTTTGAGCTCCAAATGGGCCCCATTTTGTGGGAGTTCGGCCTCCGGCAGCACTGAAACCTCCCAAGTCTGAACATATGACAATCTTGGACTGCCCAGTGTGTCAAGTTTATTTTTTTTTAAACAACTCACCCAAAAAAACACACATCAAAACTATTAAAACTAACCATTGAAAAGCATGAAAAATCCAGATTGCACCCATCTCTCTGTGGTGTTATCCAATCCTTTTCCCGACACGCCAAGTTTGGCATCCCTTGAGTTTCTCCAGGTTCCATTTGCCTCTTTGGCATCCCAACTGGCAACTGTCATGGACCACGCATCGAAATATTTCCAGAAGGCACGGTGTGGAAATCTGTTACTTGTGCACCATTGGATAGACTAGAGATGCATTTTATTTCGAAATTATGACTTGACATGATTTTATATTTTATACTTTATTAAATATCTATTAATATATATATATAGTAGTTGTATGTACTTGTAACATCTATGTGTTTTGTTTGTTTGTGTATATGTGTATGTCTATAGTTTTATACATTTGTTCATTCAATGATATATTTGTTTTTCACCCATTCCCATCTATCTTTATCTCTCATGGATACACAAAGAGTGGCTAATGTATATACTATCAGTAGATTGCTGTGTTTTATCCCTTTAGCAAGAAACTTGAACTTGTTTTGTTTTGTATTGCTTTTCCAGACGCTGGTAGACCACCTATGCAGAGGGGTAACTTACGTGGATCCCAGCAACATCCGGACAACTCGAAAAAAACACAGGGCTCTGGCTTGACAGGAAGCAGGGGGAGCCATGATTTTGGTACAGATCAACAATAAATTTCCGGGATAAAAGCCTTTGAGAATTCATGGAAGGAGTCCTATTGTCAAGTAGATCTGCTGTCCATCATTTGGAGGAAACTCCTAAAATAGTGGTACCATGGGTTACTGTACCCCTAAATGGCCCTAAATCATGCATTTTAAGAGGATTTTCATGGATGTTCCACCAATTATAAACCAACCCATTTTGGAAAACCATCATTTCCGGGAATTTCTGGACATGCCTCATGCGCGGTGCGCAAGGTCATCGCTCATTGTTTCGGACATCGTGATCTTCGTGAATGGTTTTGCGGTGGCATTTTTTGGGGCGAACTTCAAGAAAGACAACAGTTGTACTGGGCTGCGGAAGTTGGGGTTCCATGGTTCCACTTGCTTTTGTATGGAAGTTGCCCGCATTCAGCCAAAGGACCGGTTTCAAACGGGGGATAGTCTCCGAGTCCAACGCTTCACAGTTTGGACACAGCAGGGGTGCCTCATGGCAGTTGAGGCAGCTTACTGGACAAATGTATCCAGCATTATCCAGCGATCAGACAGATACCTTGGTGGAAACCCCACCAGTCAGCATGAGGCTCCTAATGGCCCCAGAATATGAATGGGTTGAAAAAAAATCCGAAGATAAAATAGAAATAGATGATGTCTGTGGATACACATATGGATTAATCATCTAAAAGAATCCCATCACTTGATTCATGTTGATTCATTTTATGGATATCCGCGCTAATCATGATTAGCTATGCCCTTTGGAAATGCTATGACAACCCACTTGGTTTGGCTGTATCCCCGTCCATGTTCTTGTTTGCGACAACGACATGTGAATGTCCCCGCAACAATTGTGACAATAATTTTGTAGACATTCCTTTGTCATGTTTGCTATACTCATCTATACTCGCAATGGTTTAAAACATTACATATATATATATATATATATATATGTGACACGGGTGATAAGACACACTCCCATGTGGTTTGTGCAATTGTCAGTCCTGACGCGTTATTCCTCTTAATTACTGCTCAATATATCCTGATTTTCGTGCCGGTATTGTTTGGCCCTTGACCGTTTGGGTAAAAGTCAAGATGTGGTTGTTTGTTGTTTGTTGTTTGTTGTTTGTTGCTTGTTGCTTGTTGCTTGTTGCTTGTTGTTGTTGTTGTTGTTGTTGTTGTTGTTGTTGTTGTTGTTGTTGTTTTGGATGGTTAAGACACGTCGGTGTGTCTAACAGTGGGATATACCTGGATATACCACCCACATAGTCATCAAGCGGGAAAATGAGGTTCCAATCCATGGGCATTCATGACTTTCCTTAAATATTCAGATTAAATATTCAGACAAACCCATGTTACCCTCTGCTCATTCAACGTAGCTATGAAAAATAACCATGTTTAATGCGTAAATCATCAGACATCATTTGTAATTAAATGGGCCTTTTCATCCTTTTTCCACAGTCACTAATTATTTTGAATAACCAGATGGTAAAACTATAAAACACCCAAAAAGCTGTAGCTTGATGTAGCTTGCTGGGTGCCAGTTTAGCCCATGGCTGACAATTCTCAGGTTTAGACAAGCAGATGAGATGGACGAGGTCGGATGGGGCACAGGATACGAGAGTTGTGATCCCCCAAAGAGGATAGTAACGCGCAGTCCTATTTTTCAGCATATATATTTTGGCACATTTTATGGTCTTTGAATGGTATATGATTATGATATATTATGATATATATATATATGATATATATATATATATGTATTGATTCGATGTTTTGTTTGGAGTGGACCATGGTGGAATTGTGGAGATACTCGCTGGAGAGTTTACTTCGAACACTGAATCCGAGTGATCCGTAGGTCCGTAGGGCCGTTCCTTGCCAGGATTCCTCTTTTACCCTCTGGTAATTTAACGTAGCTATTGAAAATGGCCAAATGGCCATAGAAATAGTGGATTTTCCCATTAAAAATGGTGATTTTCAATAGCTATGTTAAATTACCAGAGGCTAATGCAAAACGAGTTTTGGAATATTGAAATATTTTAAAAGCAAATTATTTGGAATATTTATGTTTCATTTGAGTAGATTTACTGATGTTGTGACGATGCAGTGAAAGTCACAAGAGAGACTTAAGAGATACACCTGCACTTCAAAGGGTGCGACGATTGTTTCGTCTGGGAGTCCAGGTTCTAGCAAAGATCACTATTTGTAGGTTCAACACTGCAAGTGCAAAGCCTATGAGCGGCCGGAACACATTCTTGCAACTACCACGTTGATCTTTGTTTCTTTGTAATAACCTGACGTGGACAATAATTATGTATACATATTTATATCAATACATATTCATCAACGATTTCTGCGCCAGGTACTAGCAAATGCTCCTGGTGCCATCATTTTCTGGGTTTCTCGCTATGACAACTGGATGACGACTGGCGCGATGGGAAAATTCCAAAATCCCCTGATTTCATCCGCGTGTATCATGCCAATAGGTTGGTTGGTTTGTATAATCTATCTTGTTTGTATAATCTACCATAAACTATAGCATATTCGTTGAAATGAATCAACGGAAACCTGGATGTGTGTTGGTTTATATGTTTTATTTTATGTTATTATTATTATTTTAATATACATATACCCATTATATATTACAGACATAGATATAGATACTACATATATACACATACATACATATAGATAGATACATACATACAGACAGACAGTACATTACATTACATTACATTACATTTACATTACATTACATTACAATACATTACATTTACATTACATTTACACTACATGTACATTACATTTACACTACATTTACATTACATTTACATTACATTACATTACATTTACATTACATTTACATTACATTACATTTACATTACATTTACATTACATTTACATTACATTTACATTACATTTACATTACATTTACATTACATTTACATTACATTTACATTACATTTACATTACATTACATTACATTACATTACATACATTACATTTACATTACATTTACATTACATTACATTACAATACATACATACATTACAATACAATACAATATATACATACTTGCATTCGAAGGACAGGTAAACAGCACATTTCGACATATAAGCCTTAAGTCGTCGCTAGGCACTAGGAATCAAGGTATGATCAACTGAGGTGAGCAATATGTTTGTTCCAGTGATGATGTTTACCACCTGGCAGCTGTTTTGCGCCTGCATCTCGACGCCAAGGAGAGCTTTGTGGGTTGGATGGATGATCAATGGGATATTTGTTATTAATGAAGTTTGCTAATGTGAGAACCATGATTTGCTGGAGATTTATAGGATGTTAATTAATGGACTTTAATCCTGAGAATGGGGTATATTATATTCATGTATATTCCGAGGAAAGACAACTTAATTGGGAACATGTTTATAAACCAGCCAGTGAATAGACCCTGTGTTCTGACAAACCCATATGGGTTTGACATGGTTGTGGCTGGTTCAATGGAGAAATTTTGAGGAGTTGCGGAATCCCGAACCAACTTGCCAGTAGAATCAATCCACAATAAGTTTGAAAACTGCTCATATTGAACATATATATATAGAGAAAAATGGGATGTCGTACCGAATCATTCCTGTTCCCTCCTTTTCTATGTATAGATTTACAGAAAATCACATATGACATGGCAAGCTTGCCATGATGGCATGGCCAGAAAAATCACCACCGAACTTTGGGAAGGTCAAACTTGCACCGTTCTGTGCATTTCCAAATATAAATCCCCATCTTTGAGCTGCCAGAAATGTATCATTCGCCGACCCGAAACTGGCAGCAAGGTATATTCATGGTCCTACAAGACCTGACATTCCCTCTGGCAACACGGCGTTGCAACCTGGGGAAAGGTTCCTATAGGGGTTCCTACAGCCGGTGGTGTCCCCCAGTTTGTTAGCTAAGTTAGTTTCTACATTGAGCAACTATGATGAATTATGATTAACTATGGTTAACTATGATTAACCATGATTAGCTATTAACCATTATTCACTAGGCTTCATGGTCGCATAATGGGGTGATGGTTTGTGAACCAAGTGACGGCACCACCTTTCAATGACAGTTGATGTGTTGGCCAGATGCAGCAGATAGAAGACACTGGAAACCTTGTGAGGTTTGTTGCTGTTCTGTAGCTTATTGATGTTTGTTTCAATCATCGATTGAATCCAGAACTGTTTTGTATAGTCACCAATCTTAAACACAGCCTGCAGCAAATTTGGTCCTATTCTGTGTAAATCCCCTTCTCAACCATTGTTTCTGTGGTGTGTTTAATATGGGATCCGGAATGGACAAGCATCCGAGCAGCACTTGCATGTGCACGATCTGATTTGGAGATTGACAAAAAATATACATGTACATACATAAAATAATGATAAGTTATGATAAATGATTGGTAAGGGGAAGCACCCAGATTCACCCAGATATTTCAGGTTGGTGATGCAATGCTGACTTCACAGGGTCTGCCACCGACTCGCCGAGTCCCTTTACCATTGCGTGGTCACTGCCACTACAGTTGGATATGGCGATGTTCCCATCATGGAGGAGACAGGGCCCCAGGGCCCGGAAAACCCCAAGTTGGGCCGCAACTTGAGTTTCAGGTGGCCAAAGCATCCAAGTCCAGTGGTGGTTTGGCTTGTCTTATCTTGTCTTGAAATCACACCTTACATTTGTCCCTCAAATTCAGAAACAAAGTTGTAATATCTTAGGAATATATATCCCTTACATTCATCCCTTAGGATTGTGGTTTATCTTGTCCATAACTGTGAAGTTATCAGAAACAACTCCCTACTCTCACCACGCAAAACTTTGCGGAATTGGCATCCCAGCGAACTTCGTCGCCGTGCACAACTCAAAGAAGTTGGAGATTTACAACGATTTATGTCGTTATTATTCATTTATATAGATTCATATATATATATATATATATTATATATATTATTTATATAGATTCATTATGATTCAAGATTGGTTTTAGATGGGTTTTAGCACATTTTTTGGATTTCCAAGTAACATCCACCAACGACAGAGTCCACGAGTCCACGGCACGTTTAGCACAGGAGTCGCGCCCATTCGCGGTGATCCATATTGGAGCGCCAGGGCTCAGGGTCTTCCCCAGAGATCAGTCGGTGAACAAACGTAATATGTATGTCTGTGTGCAAGGACATGGAATATCATGGGATTATCATGGAATATCTTGGGAATATCATGGGAATATTATGGAAAAAATGGAAATATTACGGGAATATCATGGGAATATTATGGGAATATCATGGGAATATTATGGGAATATCATGGGAATATTATGGGAATATCATGGGAATATTATGGGAATATCATGGGAATATTATGGGAATATCATGGAATATCATGGAATATCATGGAATATCATGGAATATCATGGAATATGTCTGTATATACATGTACAATCATGGAATATCTATGGAATATAATTCTGTATCATACAATAGCAGATAATGTTCCAACATCAAAGGTAATATCAGATAGCATATTTGGGCATGTTCTGTCATATTGATACCTTAAGATGCGTGCACAGGAAAAATACATGAATTATGCATAGTAGTTATCCAATAATATTATTTAATGTGCACACACGCACATTGTGAACTTTAACATTCTGTACCTGCCTATTTTATATATATATATGAGGCCCCATAAATATATACATGTATATATATATATATATTGTTCACGTGTATATATATATATACACAAATAAATACATATAATATAATATATACAAACACGTAATGTTTACATATGAGATGCAGGTAGTAGTATCCGCGTACATACTGGCCACAGAGAGAACGGAGTGTCTGTACTTGGCTGTTTGAGGTTGGTGTATCTTGGCTACGACCGGGGCTGGTGGCTGGTGGTGTGATGCAGGGAACGCCTAAACTCCTGGGTTTCCTCCCACAAACATTGCCATTTTGGGCTTATGGTATGCTGCTTTTTGGAACACAGCCATTGTCCAACAATGGGGTTAACCATGCTCATGTCAGACCGGACGTTCGCCCAACCCTAAACGTTACACCCAGACACATTTCTGCGTTTCAAACCGGAGGATGAATGAAACCCTCGCTATACGCAGCCATTGCTTCCGGGACTTATGGGTTTAGGGCTTAGGTGTTTTCTGGTTTTGAGTTTGTTGTTTTAAAGCATGGACAAACTTCAAAACACCGGCTCTGTCTTCGGAATTCGATCATGTCAAAGGATATGAGGAATCCATGGCTGACAAACATCTGGTAGCGAAGATGTTGACCAAAGAACAACCTAGTTTATTTGCAAAGTCAAACCCAAAAAAATGTGGGTGTCTTTTGATCATACAATTCCTTTGGGATCGATTTACGTGCTTTTTGAAATGAACGATAGATTTTTCAACAGGGTCAATATTTTTCGTGTTTTTTCACACCAGACCTGTGCTTTTTTCGTGTTGGCCCTTATGTTTTGTCGGAATGGGAGACCCCCCTGGCATTTTTCCTCAGCTCTGGATTTTAAACAAAACCCCAAAGGCGATCCAGGGAGTACCATTTTGATAGTAAATTTATCCAGAGTTGGCATTACCCATATGCTCCATGTATAGTATATTTACCTACAAAACTGGGCCATTTCTGGGGTAAATGTAGGTAAATATACCAGCACCATGGAGCATATGGGTTGTAGTTTGCTTTCTCTTTTGTTTTGAGACAACTTTAAATTGTGTGGGTAACAAAATGGGATGGTTCAGACTGTGAGCCAGAAGCAATTTGATAAAGGACGATTTCGAGTAACGCACACCGAGCAGGTTGATATTCCTCTGACGAGTTTTTCCTTTTGAGTGTACCCAATCAGACGATGTACATGACTCCGTCTCTTTGGCCATTGCTCACCTGCAACATTTGGATTTCTGCCAACCTTTCCTTTACATGATTTACAGAATCCAATCACTTTGCATGTCAATCGCTCACTCACTCAACCCCAGATTAATAACCAGTGGAACCCCAAAACATAGTGATAAATTACAATTAAAATTGGTTCCCCCCACCCTATTCAAAAATTGGGGGGTTTTGCACAATCCTGGGTTCAGCTTTGACAACTTTTCTACACCTTGTGAGGGTTGCGGGTTGCTGTATCCTGTGTTTCTCAGGTGGGGACCTCGAACGGTAGCTAAGTTGGTTTACTAGCCTAAATATGGTTTATGGCTTGTAGGCTCTACTCACAGCAACTTGATGTAACTTAGGGGGCCGCGCTAGCCAACCCTGCTGCATGAGAAGATTATCCAGGTGGCACTCCTTGGTGCCTGCATCGCGGAAGTTCCGGCACTATTTGACATCCGGAGTTGCGTTCTCAGCAACCAGAGACCAATGGACCAATGACGCAACGACTCAACGGACTGCGGTATCGCATATGTGTTTTTTCGTTTGCACGTTCATGTCCCTGGGAGAATAGTAGGCTGATTGTTGGCTATGAAAACATTGGGTTGATCATGGTTGATTCAACCCCATGGTCGCCATGGTGAAAACGTGGTTGCCCATTCATCCTGGAACTCGACCCTTACCAACATACCAACGACCTCCCGTTCGCTGAAACCATCCCACGTGTGGGCTTACTTCAGCGTTACCCTATGGTAATTTAAGAGTTTGTTATGGAACAACAAAGTTGTTGATAAGTAAAGAATCCATACATGGGCTATTTTCCATCCCTACTGTGGATGGAAGAAATCCTTCCATTATTTCATAGCTACCAAAATATGTACCAACTGTTGCAGTTCTTCCATTCACAGGATGTTAAACATGTTCCCCGCAACCCCCTGGTTCGCCCACACTCAAACACCACATCCAAACAATATGATATACTTATCACCGAAGGATGAATGGAAACGCAGTGATTTTGACTTTAATTTTTCAGGATTTAGGGTTTTAATTTAGGGTTTAGGGTTTTAGGTTTTAGGGTTTTGATGTTTGTTGTTTTGGACAGTAAAAAAACTTAAACCCTGCGCAGGGATTTGACATTGTCCAGCTATTTGGAGCAATAAACATCCAGCATCATCCAGCTATTTTAATCTATTACCAGCCTAGTTAACCAGGGTTTTGACATGTTTTGACTCAAATTTTGACCCATTTTCACCAGCTATCAATCTTTGGTCATTTTGTTATTAGCTCGCCCAAATATACCCAGCGGAGGTGTTCAAATTCGACAACTGGAGATTTTGCAGCGAGTCCTGGACGTTGTTCGGAGACTCAGGGCGCCAGTTTTGGGGATTTTGGATGGGCAAATAGGGTAAGAACGACTGTCATAGGTTGTTGATATTACAATAAGCAAAATATATAGTAACCAGGACATGCCAAGGCGTGCCACTTTGGCACGCTTAGGGAAGGGGTGCCGCTACGACGCCCCTTAATTTCTAAGGTGTTTTCAACCTGTTTTGGGCCATCTGGGATATACAGCTCATCTTTGTTATCTCAAACCACCCAAGCGATGATTTTTGAGTTATTTTTTTTGGCACCCCAAAAATGGTGCGTGTCAAACGAATCATTTGCGTGTCGGGGGGTTATGCAGGGGGTGCCAAAACGCAACCCCTTTAAGCTAAGGGGTGTCGTTTTGGCAGCCCTTAATGCGTGTCGGCAGGGTGTCACTGCCAGGGAGTAGCGTGTCATTTGCGTGTCGGAAAATCCAAAAATCAACGTCTTTTTTGTCCAGCTCGCCTCCAACCATCTTTTTCAAAAACGGTGGTATCAACATCGTTCGCACCATATAGGGGTCAAAAAACAAGACCCCTTGGAAGGTCTTGGAATATATCTATAGTATAATTATAACCATTTATAACCATCTATAACCATTAATAACCATTTACAACCATTTTAAAACCATTTATAACAATTTATAACAAGTTATATATTATAAAAAAAATATTATGTCAGTATATACATATATGATAGGTAATACATATTGTTTGATGTTTAATCATAGTGCATACACATGGTGGTTTACAACAGATTACTCCTTTTTACTGAATGCATCTAAATACGTAATACAGTATGTATAGATATCATATTGTGGTTTATACAAGGTGGTGCCCCCTCTAGTTATAAATGGGTTATTATAAGAACATTAACTATAGACATATCATATCACCTATAAACCCTAGTTATTCGAATTATAAACCATTATATAAACCAACTTAGCTATCTTGGGGGCACCACCTTGTAGGTTTCATATCGTGGTTTATAACTTAAAGAAACATGGCTTGCGAACAACCAGCGACACCACTTTCTTCGCAACGCTGCAACGTGGCAACGACCGTAGGAGATGATCATGCAATTGGATAGGTGCGCAGCACGGTGCGCTGAGGATATCCCCAGGATATGGGGGAATTCATGGGGATCGAAATGGGGAGATTTCTGGGATAAAAATGATTTATAGTTCAATCCCATATAATTAAACTAAGATGATTTATTGAACTAATTCAAGATAGTTCCAGGGAATAAACATCCATATATAGTTAAAGGGCCTTTAAAAGCCTTCTAAGATTCAATCGAATGACATTATTTTAATGATGACCCGACACACACATGGCGTGTTGATTCTGATTGAACACATCTGGAACAATGAAGTCATTTCTATCGAGTCTGGAACAGAACGGTCGCCGAAGGGGTCTCCCAGTCAGCCAGGGATGGCAATGGTGTTGACAAACTGGAGTTTTGCATCGGCATTCTCATAGAGAGCCTTGGCCAGGTGTCTTTCGAGCGGCCAGGTGATTAAAAATCGACTCGTTTTTTTTGTTTTTCTGTTTTTGATGTTTTTGATGAGGATGGCTCAATGGATCACAATGGTAATGAGGAACCATTATTTTTGAGGGTACAAATGGTAATGGTTCCAATAGGCCTTTATCACAAGGGGGTTGATGATTTTGTGAGGTCAATGGATCAAACATCCCTAGGATTGGTGCAGAACTGGCAGGGCTTCCCTTACAGCACCTTGGCGACGTGTCGATGTTTGTGAAGGGAAAATCCACAGGGTGCCCCCAAAGGATAGCTAAGTTGGTTTATAGCTAGATTGACACATGTTTAAATGTTCATGGTATATACTGTATATATATAGTTACTGGGAGTTGCATACCAACTTTATATATTTCACCTGTTTAATAACCAGGGCTTGGTGAATGTCCTTATAACCAGGGCTTGTATTTACATCACTTCAAAACGTATTTGCTGAAGATTGTATCACCTTTTTTTGTTGGGTGATGTTCAATCAGGACATGTACCAACCCCTGACAACCCAGCATTCTATTCGGATCCATTGAACGGGGATACTGTTATCACATCTGAAATATCTTGGGTGTATAGTGAAAACCTGAGTTTACTTAAGGATGTTTTTTTTGTCTTTCTCATGGAAAGTCCACCATTTGGGGAATCTATAGGGAACATGTATGCATGTTTCTGTTTCCCATGGGGCCCAAGATAAAGGATAGAATCGGATAGAAAGTGAACATCTAAATCCTGGGGTTGGGGTTTTTCACGCGGGTCCAGTTCTAGAGATGTGACATTTGAGATGTTGAAAATTCAGAAATGCGTCTTGATATTTGGAAGATTTTGGAAGCGTCCAAGAATGGAGAGCCCTTCTAGTTCCCATTCTAACTTAGAGAACATGATGATAATCTGTGAAATCCAATGGATTCAGGCATTCAGGCTTTCTCTCTGTTTGAACCAACTTTTTTTGAGGAGATGATACCAATTCGCAAACGACAACATCATCACGGGGTATCAATTGTTGCCTGTTGTTTATATGTTGCGCAATGTTATTTGCTTAAAATGGGAATCTAGTGGTGATATGATGATTGGGCTACCCAATCATCATGGGGATGTTCAACGGTAATGAAGAGCAGTCCCCAGTTGGTGTGTTGATTCAACGATGTAAGATGTTCCATCCTGGTGGAAATAATGTGGGACACCCTGGTTGCCATAAGCAACTACCAGTAACTACCATGACCGGGGATGGTTGGGAAACCACCCATAGAAATTGTGATGACTTGGGGATGATCTATTCTTGGTTTCACCACAGCAATATGTCTCAGATGAGTTTTCAATACTATCAACCAACCATGGATGAAGCCAACGTTGGCTAATCCACTTGATGCAAGACCTAACAATTGGGTAATACTTCCTACAAATATAACTATATATATACTGTAATAGAATCTACCAATCAATTGGTTATCAAGTGGTTGCTATTACGCCACAGGTTGGAGTTTTTTGAGTATGTCATGATTATGCCCAAAAGAAAAACCTTCATTCACGGGGTGCAACATTCAATTGTATCTGTTGTAATCCTGATTTCACCAAGATTATTACCAAAGTTTAGTTTATTTATAGTTGTACCCATATGTCAGCAGTACCCCTGTCAACCGCCTGTTTACAAGCCTTAGGCTTGTCAGTCTGATGATTCTGCCGGTGGTTACGGTCTTTGAATCATTCTTGAATTGATTCTCAAGACATCTCAAAACCAAACTCAAGGATTCTTTTAATTTTTGCAATTGACCGTTGACAATTCTGGAAATTGCAAAGTTGTCAATTAAGTTCCTACTCAAAACAACATTCAAAAGCAAAGTCCAAGTTCTGAAATTATTTCTCGGTGTTCACAGGTGGGAGGACATTGTTCCCTTTATCAAGCAGTTTGAGTCGCTTGGTGATGACTTGACAGCCGGGCCAGGGGTGCAGCAATGGAATTCCAAAAAAAATGCCTCATCATTTGATGGAGGCGTTTATGGGACATGATTGGATATGTACCCTCTGGTAAACGTTTACATAGCGAACTGGAACATCACCATGCTATTAATGGGTAAATCAACGATTTCTATGGCCATTTTCAATAGCTATGTAACAATCATTACCAGAGGGTATATCCATCAATATCCATCAATATTTATCCCATCATTATTCCATGATCATCCCATCATTAAACCATATTAAACCATATTAAAACCATCATTACCAGAGGGTAAATTCTGCAACCTGCAACCTGCAACAATTGGCCCCTGTTCCCATGGCCCCAAACGTCACCGTTGGTATATAGGATCCATGGTGCTGCTATATATGGTGTGCCATGGATCCCATCAATATACCCCCAATCAATGTTAGCATTTTTGTACCAGCACCATGGATCCGTCATGGGGTATAGTATCACTGATTGAAAGGATAGTTTTAAATTACATTGTGCTGATGTGTTTGAAATATTTTGAAATGACCCAGTTAAATATGTGTCTTTTGCCATTAAATATGGACGGTAGTACCCGGACATATGCAAAAGAAAGACCTCTAATTTGGGGTGATAGATCATCTCTGACAGCTGATCCATGAATCCATAAACACGATTAAACAAAAACAGATAAACGGACGAATGATTGGTTCTTTCAATATATTTGTTCATCTTTAGAATTTTAGAACCATACAATATATCCTGTTTTGATGAATATTTTGTTGGTTCATGATTCAGGCCAATGCCCCAGAAAAATCCTCAAAGTCGATCCAAGTCGATCCCAGGGCCTTTGACGTGGACAAGTCCGGGCACCTCTCTACCGAGGAGAGGGGAAGATTTCCACGAGTTCTTTGGAGCTTTTCCACTGCAGAAATAGATGGATTTAGAATGATGAAATGATGAATGTCGTGGGAAAACTGACCAACAGTGGCTAGTTCATTGAGCTTTTGCTAGTTCAGCATTTGACGAGTTGTTTTGGGATTGATCGGAATGAGAATTTGAGGTCCTTATTTGCCAGCGAGGTTCTTGCCTTTGCTAGTCGCCAGTCCCAGATTTCTACATGGCATAGATAGCAGCAAGGATGTGCAAGGACCAACTGGTACTTGACCCGATTTGCTGTGTATAAACAACGCTAAAGCAAATGGATAACAAATGAAAACAATATAAGATGTTTTGGGTGGGGGGGATGACCATAGATATATTGTACATTATATACAAATATACTAATATTTATACTAATATCATAATATACATATACATATATACATACATACATATATATATATATATATATGCATATAAATATATACATATATATATACACATATATATATATATATATACATACACATGACATGCGCACAGATACACAGATCCAAAATGTCATTCTTTGATGCTCTGGGACCGGGGTCTCTGAGACCGGGGTCTCAGCGTGAGGATCTGGAGCTCATGGCATCTACGATGGAGGCGGGTCGGAACTGGTCTCGACAATCAGCTTGCTTTTTGGGTCAAATACCCTCTGGTAATGATGGTTTTAATATGGTTTAATATGTTTTAATGATGGGATGATCATGGAATAATGATGGGATAATACTAGGATATTGATGGATATACCCTCTGGCAATGACTGTTACATAGCTATTGAAAATGGCCATTGAGTGCGTGAGTTTTACCATTAAAATGTGTGATTTTCCGTAGTTTTTTTGTATGTTTACCAGAGGGTACCCGGTGAAACAAATAGTCACAAGTTGAGATATCATAAAAATGCTAGTCACCACAGACTATAGAATATATACACTTAATTATGTTGGTTTTCCACTAAGACTTTTTTAATTGAAACAATAACATGTGTATATATAATAGTCACCAGGTTTTTGTAGATTGATCAATTATGTTGGCGTATTTCCAAGTATATAGATTCCAGTAATTTATATGTGTTTTCACCTACATATTTCATTGATATAGTAGTATTTGTTCGATGTTCCCACGCTAGTCTTGTACACACAATGCCTATACAATGCCTATGGATTCAATTATTCCGTGATGTGTCAGTTCTCCATACCCTCTGGCAAACCAACATAACTATGGAAAATCACCATGCTATTTATGGGTAAATCAACTATCAATGTTATAAATGGGCCATTTTCAATAGCTATGTAGCAAATTACCAGAGGATATCTTGCTTCGAATTTCCCCAGGGTCACCTTTCCCAGGCCAATCGGAGTGAACTTCGCAAGCAACTCTCTCGGCAGATGTCGATGCGCTGGCACCATCGGGAGGCGCCCAGGGGGATCCCAGTGGGCTGCCTTTTTTTGCCGAAATATGCTCCATCCAAAATGTGTTGACCTACGCTTGGTTCATGTTGAATGGGTGTTGAAAACAAAAAAACATACAATTTATATACAATGAACAGTAATGAACATTGGGCAAAAGCCGGCGGTAGCTAACTTGATGTTGTAAACCACTTGTATTGGTGGCCTATCATTGGCATTAAAGCCTGGACTATTGAGGTGACAACCAACCAAGACTATACTATGCATCATCATTGCCGAGGGTCGCTGGGTCGCTGGTGACGTACTTGAAACACATTGAGAACATGAAAGATGGATTGGCGGCCGTTTTAAAAGGGAAGCGGCAATCTTACATGTGAAACACAACGCATCCAATCAGCCAGCCGTGTTTGTGCATGGAATTGTGCTCCGCCAGATCAGCGAAAGTGGATAGCAAACAGGTCAAGTACAATGTTGGATTATGCTATTTAGAAAGATGTAGAAAACACAATAGACATGTGCTGCTGCTGCTGTTGTTGTTGTTGTTGCTGTTGTTGCTGCTGCTGGTGTTGGTGTTGTTGTTGTTGTTGTTGTTTCTGGCATATCTATGGCATATCTATTCTGGCACATATGGCATATCTATTTTGACATTCTATCTGAGATTCTTTCTGGCCTATCATATACTTTGACATTCTATCTGACATTCCATCTGGCATCCATTCTGACATACTTTACGGCGTACATTCTGACAGTCTTTCTGGATTTTTTCTGACATTCTCCCTGGCGTTTGGCTGAGGTCCGGTAGTGCCCACTGAGATCTGGCGCTCGAGTTGAGGTCGGAGGCTGCCGGAGAAGAAGGAGAAGGAGGGGAAAGCAACTCTGATAAAATCTAGAGACCCTCACCTGGCAGGTGGTGACAAAAATGTTGATATCCCCATGAAGTGACGCCTGCATTTACCGGCTCAACACGCTTAAATCCCAATTTCTGATGGTTAAAGCTAGTTTTCTCCACGTTTGACGGTTAAATTATGCTTAAGCCAATTATATCAATCCAACCTTTTCATTCCTTAGATTCTTAGATGGGACAAAACTGGTAGTTTCACCATAAAAACCATGAATAATGATGAGTTGATACAATACCATGTTGTTTTCGCGCACCAGGCCGTACCCGTCGAAGGGAGCGTGGTGGAATCGCCGCATTCACCCATCTGCAGCCAGGCCATTTTTCAAGTTATGGCCGTGGAAATAGCTCCTGGAACTATGCTTGGTGAAAAATGTCACTTAAACTGAGGTTATAAGTTATAAGTCAGTTATCACTGTTGAGTCATCGAGGCATTTAAGGATGTTTAATGGCTATAGCGGCTATAACTGTATCTCCTTGGGGGTGAATATTCATGAAAGAAGTGCGAACACTGGAACTCTGTCACAGCCAGCAGTTGTTCATGTCGATGGCTGTGGCTGGAAACATGTAGATCAATTTTGTAACACCATCCTACTGGCTGCAATGGCAACTTGAAAGGCTCTCGAATTTCATTGTATCGTGAGGCGTCGAATGCATCGATTGCGAGCTGGGTCGAAATGAGGCAGAAATCTTTGACTGGAAGAGAGGCGCCACATGTTAACATTGTACCCAGGAGACGTGGTGGTGTTGTGAGCTTTAAAACATGGCTATGATTTTTTCCCTGGTGACTCCTGCACAATTGGAGGAATGTCCTTGATTATCCCTTTTTGTGTTTGATTCCAAAGATTTCCTTTGTTTTTTTTGTTCCCAAGGGAGGGTTGCTAAGGGGCTCTCTTCCCTGATGCATATGGCAGCCATGGTAGTGCCTTTTACATTGGAAAGGAGCTTGGGATACTGGTAGCTCTAGCAGTAGCATCAGGGTTCTCTCACACTGGTGTTGGTCATGTTTCTTTAACCCTCCATTTCTGCTGGACAGAAATCAAACCACCCCAACTCTGGTTCGTGGTTTCAACTAATTCAACGTTCCCTTCCATCCCTCAAAATGAGATGAACATCCCTAATTTGTATACTGTACTCAGAGGAAGCTGAAACTTCACAGTCAACGTACCTTCTGGTAATTTAAGATATAGCTACGGAAAATAGCCCATGTATATATACACCTGTGAGCCAGAGTGAAAAAATATATATAAATAGATGACTTATAGTTCAAAACGGGCATTTTCGATAATTGTGTTAAATGACCGGATGGTACATCCCACCAACAAAGTCCAATCAATATCCCATGAGATCCCATGAGTATCCATTTAAATCCGATTAAATTTCCTTTAAATCTCATTAAACCCCATTAATCCCCATTAAATCCCAGTAAATCCCAGTAAATCCCATTAAATCCCATTAAATCCCATGAATATCCATTAAATCCCCTTAATCATTATATTTAGATGTTTAGATGAGCTATTATGACCTCACTGCGACGTCACTGAAATGATGGTTTGTATGGATTCATCCTCAAATAGCAGCTACTTTTAGGTCAGTGAGTTATAAACAGCTCCAGATTAATCATGATATTCATTTATCTTAAAAACTTATACATACGTACATACATACATACATCCACACATCCATCCATCCATCCATCCATCCATCCATCCATCCATCCATCCCTCCGTCCGTCCATCCATCCATCCATCCATACATACATACATACATACATACATACACACACCCTTAATATCCCATGAATATCCCATCATCATCAATATTTCACTAATATCACTGTCACATCAAAATTCCAGCATCATAAATATCCTATTGATATCCCATAAATGTCCCATTAGTGTAATATACCCTCTGGTTATGACTAACATAGCCATGGTAAATGGCCCATTTATAGATGGTTTACCTATTAAAAATGGTGATTTTCCATGGCTATGTTAAATAACCAGAGGGTATATTATACCACCCTATACCATGGGAAAACTAACATAAACGTCCAAAATTCATGAGGTTTCCTCGAAGGATGATCTACATTCTGGGTTTTCGACACCTATGTTAGACAACACACGTAAATCACATAAAGGAAACAACAATGATGAGATTTACTAATATCTCATAAAATGATAAATGATTATCAAAATCATCAAGTATCATTTTACATACAATTCAAATTTAATTTAATGATACTGAACATATATATATATATGATCAGTATCATACAATGATATATATAAAGTGTCACTGTCTCAATGTCTATGTGGTTACTGTTTGTGTATATGGTGAAAATCATATTACCAGAGGGTAGCAGTTATGAACTCATGAGCTCACCATGAACATGATCAGACGTACGTTTGCTGCTTAAATCCCATTGACATCCCAGAACAAAACCTATATTAAAACCACTAACACAAATCCCATTACAATCCATCAACATTCTATGAAATCCCATGAAATCTCATGAAAACCCATTAAATCTCATTAAATCCCATGAAAAAATCCAGTAAAATTCCATGAAATCTCTCCCAACAAGTAAAGTCATCTCCTGAGTCTCGAAGTAAAGTCATCTCCTGAGTCTCGCAGGTGTCTCCGGTCTTGGCCGAGATTTCTCCAGAGGCTGGATGCCGAAAGGAAAGGCGGCCATGGCATGGAGTTCATGGTAAAAAAAATATTGCCCTCTGGTAAACGTTTACATAGCTATTGAAAATGGTGATTCATAGTGGGTTTATCCATTGAAAATGGTGATTGTCCATAGTTATGTTAGTTTACCAGAGGGTACAATCTGGGTAAATTATAACGACCTCACTGTTCTCCCGAGCCCTGGAATCATGGTTAAGAAGGGACATCATCCCCAAATGGCCGCAATTCAGTTTAGTGAAATATGATAATTTACCCAGAACCATGGGATGTATGGCAAAATAGTCGAACATCAGCTATATAATTTGATTTCCTGTGTATATAGTTATATTATATATCATGATGTTTTTTTATCTAAAATGATGATTCAATTGGATTTAACAACATTATGTGTGTTGGTGTATAACCCTGATGATCCAGTTCGGTATGTCTAGCATAAACCCTAGTAAAATTGGAGTTGTGTTTACAACTTAGCTATTGCTTTGGGGGCCCGACCTTGTATGTATAGTTGGTATATGCATATAAGTCCATCCTGCAAGATGAGTCGTCGTCCGAGGTTGAGACTATTCGCGCTCCTTGATCGAAGCATGGTGCGTGGATGGGGATAGTGGATGTAACATGATGTAACGAAATGGCAACATATTGTCAGAGATATTAGATATATTTAATTATATTTAGATATATGGGGATGTATCAAAACCAATCTTGCTATATTTGGGGGGATGAACATCCATTTACCAGTTATTTGGGGTTCACTAGGGTACCAAGGTTTTGATTCATACCCCTATTAGTCATATCCATCATGATTGAAATATATTGTAACTAATTGTCCATGGGTGTTTGCATGCAATATTTGGGATCAATGTGGAAAACCCAGAACCTGTGTCACTGACAGTCACTTTTAAAACGTCTTCCTATATTGGTGTAGATTCAACATTCCAAGACGACATGTTTAAAAATATAATATATATATATACATATCATACTATTTGTACGTAATATTTATTTACACATGCACTATATATATATTATACACACTAGACTATATTTGTTATATATATATATACACACTAGACTATATATATATATATGTGTATACGCCGTACATACTATGTACATTAGATATACATAGCCGTTTCTCCATCGTTTTTCATCTTGGGAGTCCAGAAATACACAGCTCGCAGCTTCCACCATCTCCCCAGGACAGGGGACAAAAAGTATACACCTTATAGTTAGTCTATACGATTATATATAGACTTATAAATATTATTTTATATATTCATAGATTATATTTATCTGTATAATTATATGTATATATACATATACATATAGTTATTACATTTAAGTCTATGTATAATTACGTATTCGAATACTACAATATCATGTTTAACCTGAGGCCACAGCAGTCGCCTCGCTGCCTCTGGTCGATTTGCGACAGGCCTTTTGTAGTAAAGCTATGAAAAAAAAAGACAGGTTGGGGCCCCAAACAACTATATAACAACTAGGTAGTTAAGAACATAAGTTGGTAGTAACTGTGTTTTGCTATGTAATAACTACGTGATAACGATGTGATAAGTATGTTTAGTTAGGCTGGTAAACATAACTCCAATTATTATAGGTCGTTATTTCATCATATATGGAACTGGTGAATTGGATGTAACAATGTAACAACCATACCTTAGATATTTACCACATTTTCAGGTGTTTTCATCGTATTTACTGTAAATACATCGGTCTCATAAACCGAGACCTCAAAGTGTTGAGTTGTTCTTCTGCTTTTGGGGTGGAGGCTAGCATATAAAGGTATCGTCGTATACGTATGATTTTTATTGATTTTTGATAGATAACACACACACAATATGTGTATATACATATGTAGCTAGTTCAGCAGGTGTTTACATACAAGAAAACACAGTACAATCGAACAAAGACCTAGTCAAATTTGATGGGAATGTGGGTGTTTGGTGGCTTCGAATATGTTTTTCAACGCTCATTTCCTGATGGTCTCAAGGGACCCCTGACCCCATTTTTAGATCACACCATATCAAGCCCATACGAGCAGGGTTCAAAATCCCCCTGTCATGTCATTATACTTGTTCGGTAATAAGGGATTCCCTATCGGATTACCCTCTGGTAATTTAACATAGCTATGGAAAATCACTATTTTTTATGGGAAAATCCACTATAAATGGCCATTTTCAATAGCTATGTTTAATTACCAGAGGGTATTATATTCCCCCAATAATCATCAACCAGTAGTGGTATTGAACACTGCTCATACCGTATATTTTTCAACGGAAACACTTCGCACCAGGCGGTTGAGAGCAGAGGCAGCAGCCTGTGCTCTCCCAGCAGAACACCTGGTTCAATCGTTTCTTGGCACCGGCCCTGCCTTTAGTAGGGTAAGTAGGAGCAATGTCCAGAAATCACTGGCGAAAACTAACCTACTCACTAGCTCGGGTGAAAAGCCAAGTATATATCACCATATCACTCACCCGATTTTTGCATGGGTGTAGCTCACAACAGTCCCCCTCAATATAAGCTGTATTTTCACACCACTCATGTTTGTTCAGCACTATTGCAAAGTCACCTAATGTCAACCCTCCCTTTGAAAAGTGATTATTTCATATTATTTCCTACAAGGTGGTGCCCCCTCCAGTTAGAAATGGGTTATAAACCCATTAGCTATAATTATAGAATTATATAGATATATCACCCTATAAACCGTAGTTATTGGAGTTATTTGCACCAACTCAGCTATCGAACGGGGGCCCCACCTTGTATCAACATGCACGCTTTTTTGAATCAACCAGGGGTCAACCCCTTGGAAACCACCGCAAATCCGTGCATCCGAAAATCGAAAAAATCGTCTGATTGTCCGCTTAAAGGTGCCATAAAGTGGGATGTACTTAGCTCAAAAAGATATATATCTTTTGTAGATTTAATATTCATTCAGCAACATGTTGCTAGTTTACTAACATAGAATTGTAACAAGTGTCACTAATTTAGTTGTAAAATGAATGTTAATAGTTTGCATAATAATCAACGATCGTATTTTTGCAGGGCATCGCTCGTCATATGTTCCACGACGACTGGTCGCACATTTCCCCCCAAGGCTCGCCAAGTGTCTCTATAGCGCTGCTGAATGCACTGCTGAATGCAATGCTCTGGGTCGTTTTTTCATGGCTACAAAAGAGGGAAACATGTAGTGGTGTAAATGTCGATAAATATGCCAGTCATTGAATTTTTGTAATTAATTAGGGATGGATGGATATAGCCATGAAAGATCCGCAATCAGGATAGATTATGTTACAGTGCTGTTTGCTGCCTCGCAAATTGAGCAGTGTTTCTCAACTGCCACACTTCCAGCATTTTTTTTTTTGCCATCTATCTATGGCATTGTTTCACCGATCACTTTGACCTTATGACCTCGAATCGGCTCCCAAAAAAAAGGATGGGCCAAACTTTCAGCGTGGTGATCAGCATCCAGGCTAGGTGCCCCCTCCAGCATACAAGCATACACAACCTACATGTGTTACAATTATGTGTATAGTAATATGTATACATATATATATGTAGCTGACATAGCTTCCAATCAAGCTTTCGTATACATGAACACTTCATGAAAACCAATCTTAATCTCAACCAATCATTTCCTGAGCAAACTAGTAGTTAAACTAGTCTCTTGAAAACATGACACTAATTAGAGGATCTCAAGAAATCTTAATCAAGCTAACCTTCAGATGTTTTTCTCTTCGAAGACGTATACGTCCCTCATCGTCCCGCCATGGCCGACGATGGAGACAGCGGACCTGGAAGATTTGAACAGGATTTTGAAGGAAGCGGCAGCTTGACCTTGACATATGAGTTCCGCAGCTTCATCCGAATCTTTGACCTGGAAAACGCTTACATCACCAAAATTCATGGGTAAATCAACTGGTTTAACTATGGGCCATGATGGCCATGGCTTCAAGTTCGCAAACTCTAAGAGTTTACCAGAGGGTATGACATCATTATAATGTTTCGATATGTTTCGAAGCCCATGAGCACTTGGATTTCGATTTCAGGTGGATGGTGCCAAAGATTTCCCCCTGGAGCCGCTACTCAGCATCCAGCAGGAGGACTGGGCTACGCATGCGAACATTGGCGAAGCTGAAATCAGATATAAAACTGGAGGTTTCAATGGGAAAATCACCTCTAAATATGGAAGTTTTTCATGAGATTGCTTGATTATCCAGTGGTGAATGGAGTGGGGGGCTGGGCTATAGGTATGAAACGATTTCGTGTTATTCATATGGAACCGTTTGGATCTAAAACTTCCAGCTTCGTATTATTTCAGACCCTGCAATTAGGGCCTGACACTTTGAACACCGAACATGTCAGACCCTGGCATTTTTGGCCGATGTGTGATTTGTGATGGGTTTTGTCAATAGGTTCTGGTTGGTGGTTTCAAAATGTTTCAAACATTTTTTATTTTCCATAATATATGGGATAATCCTTCCCATTGACTTTCATAATTTTCAAGATAGATAAGACCACCAACCAGTGTTGATATTGTTATGCAAAAAATGACATGACAATAGTTAAAACATGTTAAAACCCTTGGGACTCGTGAGAACATGATGTCGGTTGATCCAACCCCTTTCCACTTGAAAACATACCATGTTGAAAACAATCATCCATTTTACCCGGAACTATTTCCTCAAGCTTTTGAAGTTCTTCGGCCGGGAGTTGTCAGGGATGTTTTTGGGAGGATTGCCATACAGGTCGCCTAAGAACATCATGAACATCTCGACATCCCCAAAAATTAGCCCCCCAGGGCCACGGAAATTCATTGAGAAGGCTCTGAAAAGTGGGTTATTCATTCCATTCATTGGTTGATCATGATGAAAAAGAACATAGAAATTGGATTGTCTGCCCGGCTACCCATAATTTTCAAATGGTCATCAAGTCACGTTTTTTTTTTTCATTAACACGGCCTGGAGCACCCTTTGGTACACAAAAACTTGTACCACTTTATTTCTGCACGTTTCATATTTATGTGTTCGTTTCAGATGGTCAAAAAAAAAGGTGCTCGAGTTTTTGTGTTCAAAGGGTGGTCCAGGATATTAACTATACATTGGGGTAGCTTTCTAATATATGCCTACAACATATATAGCTTAACTAAGAAAATGCTTGCCAGCACACACACACACCGCACATGAGACACTTTTTCCATCTTTGTCCATCATCTTAGGATCCATCCATACCTTCGCCATATGCGACGGTAGTGCATAAGCGCACGTCTCATGGTGCGAATCGCTATGAGAAATGCATGACAGCGTCGCGACATTCTTGATACCTCAGCCAGAAGCGTAACTACCACCATGCATGTTGCACAGAAGAAGCACATGCACATTCAAGCCAGCATCATGCATGTGAAAAACTTTTAGACCATCATGCATGTGAAAAACATAACCATCGAGATCATGCATGTGAAGGTCTGATTTAGGCTATCATCATGCATGAGGTATAAAGTAAGGTCCCCGGCCCGTCCAATGAAGTCTTCATCATTCCACGTCGCAAAATCTGCAAGCACCACGCTTCACATCAATAGTATATATGTTTACTAAGCATGCATGCATGCATCAACTATTTGAACTAAGTAGCTCATCGGGGACATGATCATCTGTGCACCACGCAGGATCTGGTCTCGCATCCACAGCCTTTAAAGCCCCAATGCATGCATGCAAGCAACTATCAACATCATCAGGCATGCGCATCTGCAAAAAAAAATGGCTGCTCCACAATTCACAGACAAGAAACCCAATCTCTTCTTGTATGTGAAGTTTTGGTCTTCTCTTAAAAAGTTTCAAACTGTTTGCAGCAGACCACGCTGTGAGAGCAATGTACCCTTCCTTCAGCACCAAGGCATGCACAAAGGTCAAACATATGATCAAGCTGCTGCACGCACTTGACCCATTAACATAATATAAACATTCATGCATGATATAGCGAACGAGGTTCGCATATGTTGTGGCAGTGTTCACAAAGGGCGCAGGCTTCAGGGGCAGGTATCCATCTTCTACCCTTCTTGTTCACAGCACGAAAGTAAGTGTCAACACTAGTCATCGTCCATCGCAAAAGAGCCAACACGTCTTTGGGGGTCACCTCAGGGAAGTTGCATCCAGGATCCAGCAAAGTCTGTGCTGATACTTTTTAAGTGCACATGCATTTTACAGATGGTGCACTTCTTCCGCATCAGGGTGAGTGTGAATCACATCCCATAGCCAGCGGCACAAAGCAGAAGTATCATAGCCCTTTCCACCAAATTTGGGAAATTCTTGGAGCCTTGGTTCTCATGGCAACTTCGGCAAATAAAGGGTAGCAGATGCGCAATGCATATCTGTCCAATGTCTTTAATGCAACTTGAGCACGACGTGCATTTGAATGTCGACAATTCAAACTTCACCACGCTGGTGTTTACTCTGCGTGCTCGCCGCCATGTGTTGAAACTTTCATATGCGCGTGCCAATCGTTCTTCAATGTTGTTGCCTCCCCACCATTTCAGGTGACATGCCAAAAGTACCTCATCAAATGTTTTAGCATCACCACCACAGTGGGTAAATTATGCACATGTCACAGCGTGCTCATGCATGACAAAAAAACATCGACAACAAACATGCCAGCCATAGGTGCCACGATAGACCCACAGAGGTCTTGTCCTACTCCAAGGTGCCACGTGTGTGCTTGATCAGGACATGCTTGGAGAGGGCCACACCCGGGCACTTGGCTGAGGGCTGAGACATCCCGAAAAGGGTCAGGTCCCGGACGCTCAGCTCTCCATTCTGCATTCGCATCAGTCCGCCACCACTCCTGTATCACACAAGGGTTGCAAAGCACATGTTCTCAACATAGACTACACTCCAGCTGGGCCTTACCACTGCATAGATGGCAGATCCGGTTCGATGTGAAACCGGTGAAGAGTAGATGACATTTGCCTAAGACATGTGAAAAGCTGACTCTGGCATGCATGCATTTCTAAAATTTGAACTTCACGCATGCAGCTGGAGCACGAAGCCAGGGCCAATCTCCACGAACTCCAATCATGGCAATGTACATTGTCTCCACCGAGCCATCCTTTTTCATCACCTAGACCAAACAAAAAAAAACAGAACCTACCAAATCAAAAGGGTGAAAGCACATGAGTGAACATTTAGACCATTGAAAAAGATTGAGGCTTGCGCATTGAAGCCAGTCTCAAACAAACTTTTGAGATCCTCTGCAATCTCTCCGTGTAAAGCTTCCAAAGATTCCATGCCATCCAACCCGACTGCATATCTCTCTCCAGGAAAAATTGCCGCCAAAAATCTGGAAAGAAAGGAATGCCCTGGTGCTGGCAACCCTGCCACAAACGAGGTCACTAGAACAGGTCTTCTCAATTTCCCCCTTCCTTCATCTCCATGGTAGTACATTGGGATGACTTTGCTGAGTCGGCCACGATGTGTTTTGAACACTTCATGAGAAGGCAGCACATTTTCATAGAGCTGCCAAAAAGCACTCAGCTCATGCTCATGCTTTGGATTGTCTATTCCAAATCCGTTCATGATCAACGCACCCTCAGTCTTCCGGAAAATGATCTCAAGCCAATCCCGAAGTTTGAGCACTGGCCATGGAACATTCGATATTTTGTTTCTAAACAAGCAAGGGCAGCAAACACTGCTCACAGACACTGGTATGGAAAGGTTCCATCGGGAGATCAAAGCATGGAGATTTCGACTCCAGTGTGCCGGCTGGTCCCAGGATGCAATTCGCATCAAGACATTGGACTGACCTGAGACTAGTTTACATGCATGACCCGTGACACATCACTGGGAGCACACTGTCTCAGTCTCTGGCACCCACTTGGTAACCGCAAGCGGCTGGTGATCCGACAGGCGGAAACACATGACCGGGCACTGTCAGCCTTGGAATGGATGCATGCAAATCTACACATATATGGTGTTGTTTGATCAAATGAGGCCCGTGCTCCAGTTTCAAAATGTTCTAGCAGTTCTTCCAACAGTTGCGTTTCAAAGTCCACATTTTCATCCTGATCATCCAGTCCTGGCATGCCAAAAGTGTTACGAAGTACTACAAACCAGAATGTGTGTTTCAAGTCTTGTGAGGAGATGCCTGCTGGTTGTATCGGAACAGTACCGTCAGATTCTCCGACCAAATCTATACCTGCGAAGGGGAAAACCACTCACCATCCAAGTTCAAAATGCCAAGGGTTGCACTCATGTTTTGTCATATAGCACTGCAAGCCTCATGCATGTTACATCAAACAAAACCAGAAAATGAGCACTTTTCTCACACCATCCACAGCTGCCATATCTGCAGCCATCATCGCACACATCACGTAAAGGTCAAAATTTCACAGCCATGCGCAGCTCTCAGTGAATCACTTGTCTTTCTTCGACTTCTTCCTTTGACATGCATGTGTATGAATGTAAGGAAAATGCAGAAATTCTTGCATGCTAGCTGGAGTTCCTCGACCATGCATGAATATAAATTATATCCAAGGTTCTTAGGTGGTGAGACCTCCGATTCAGATTCTTCGGACTTAACCTTATCCTTTTTTTTGCTCTTACGCTTCTTTGCAGCAGCCTTGCGCTCAGCCTTCTCTTCATCTGTCAGCGGTGGCTTGTAGCACCTTAGTCGAACACATGCATGCAGAAGCTGCTCCTCAAACAACTATCTTTGAGGCTGATACCGGGCACGGCTCAACCAGTTGTTCATGATCGTGTCATTCTTCGTGATGGCAACAAAGTGTTTGACCAGCTGGTCCTTCTCTGGCCTCATGCATCTTACATAATGCCATGTTATCATCACCCAAAACATGCATGCAGCATAAAAAGTAACATCTTGGAAGTTGACTGATCCGGTGACTTCACCATAGCTTGCGCTTGTGCATCTATCAGCTTCGCATTCAACGTCTTCAACTCTGCCAGCGGGGCATCAATGCCACCCATCAACCTGAACATCATCAGTTCACGCTGAACTTTTCTATAGTATACCCAGAATTTGTTCCTATAGTTGCAGCATGCAGACCATAAGGCACACACTCCGATGCTTTCTTGTCGAGCTTGTGCGGCTCCAA